GTTGTAAAGGAATGGAGCACCCCTTGCGAGCATCAGGGGTGACGTCACTCAGGATCTGTCTCTGATTGGTCGGCGGGGGAGTGACTGTACCTTCTATAGATGGCCTTGGTGCAGCCCATATAAAAAAATGTAAAAGCGTTGGAAATATCGCTTCAAAAAGTCAGAGCATTTAGCATGGAAACGCTATGGCCTGATAGGAACTGAATGTCGTTGCGAATTTCGATGCTACCAAATTTCGGCGGGGACTTGCATCCACCTGCCGCTGGTCAGCCGTGCCACGGACGCTCTGGACTTGTCGCTGCCGGTGCTGGCCGAGCTGGCCGCGCTCTGGGCCGACTGCGCCGAGCCGCTGCGGCCATGGTGCCCGACCTGAACCAGTAGGTAGCTGACGCCGGAGCGGCGCTCGGCGAGGCCGGTGCTGGTCGGAGATGGGGCCGCTGCCGGCTGCTGTGTCGCGCGGTGCAGCTGCTCGGCACGCTGGCCACGCCGCCGCCACTGGCTTGATGGCAGACAGCTTGCAGGCGCAGCTGGCCGCCTGTGTGAGTCAGCGGCCTGTGCTTGAGCTGGCCATGCCATTCGGCATTCGCTGACATGAAGACCAGCCAGTGACCGTATATATTCCTGCCGCGTGTCGTCCAGCTGGCGCTCAGCTCCGGCAACGCGCAGCTAAGACCTCCGGGCTCCGCGTGCCAGCTTGCTGAAAGCCGTGACCGCGTTCACACTAGGTGAACCGCTTGCTACGCGGCGCTATCACGAATAAGGCATTTACGCGATAATAACCAGTTCGAGTAGTAAAGGTTTCACGTTAGAGTGACATCTTGAAGTATAATGTACTTACGCGAAAAGGTGAACGAAGGGGTCCAAATGGGTGAATTCCAGATAAAAAGGTCAAATTAGGTCACGCTGGGTCATTTCAGGTCACAGAGGTCACTTAAGGTCACCCTGGGTCAGGTCAGGTCACAGAGGTCACCCAGGGTCACGATAGGTCAGGCCAAATCACAGAGGTCACCTAAAGTAGCAATGGGTTGGATCACATTGGTCAGGGCTATCATGGGCCGATGACGTCATTCCTGCTCATCTTCTGCCTACAACATCGGCCTATGGCACAGCATTACGGTGTCACCCCCCTGGTGGGACGAGCTGCTGGTCAGCTTCCATCGCTTCCATCGCTGGACTATGCCTAGCTCCGGGAAGACTACCGAAAACTTCTGAAGCTCTGCGTAATTGCTCTCGGCGGAGTTCCAAGCACGGCATCCGTTTCTCCGCCTCAGAGTACTCCATTGAGTTAGGTGGATGGCAAAGACCATCTGCACTGTGGATGCCTTCCTCTTCAGGGAGCGGCTCCGGCTGACGGCGGCCGAGGCCCAGGTCATCAAACGCTGTGCGCTGTCCGTTGCCTGCAAGTTTGCCGCCGCCGCCGCCGCCTGGTTTGGGACTCTATTGCCACTGCGCCGGCTCTGGACCTGACCTTCGTGAACTCGTTCTGCACCTACCCCGACAAGGAGCTGTCGAAGGCGACAGTCCTGGTCTTCGGCCGTCACCTGTAGTACTTGAGTGATCGGCTGCCTGGTGACTCTGGAGCTTTTAGACCCCGACCCTCGGGCTCAATCAAGACATGGTGCGGGCAATAGAATTGTAGGAGAGGGAGGACCCTCCCCATAAGTCCTTAGTGGACACTATGAACGCCGCTCTCGCGACCGAGACCTTGGTGAGCTTCCTCACATCGTCGTTCAAAAAGCTCTCAAGGATCCACGACCTGGACGCGGGGCTCATCATCAATGACCAAGGCCACTGGGAGGACAGCAGCTACCACGGGGTGTCGAAGTCTAGTAGGAAAATCTGGCAAATTCCCTGCGTGACGTCACGTCGGGACTGACCGACGGCACTTTGCACTGAAGGATACGGCGGATTGGCTATTTTTGAAAAATGATTAAAAATACTTTTGTGCTGTTATGACATATAAATCGCTTATCAGCATGTTCCTCATCATGTGATAAAGCCATATCCGTGGTCGAAAATAGCTGAGCCCCTCCCAATTTCCAACCACCGACCTCATAAGCAAACGATGTAAGCGTAATCCTTAAGGGCGACTTTCCCATACATATCCGTACATATGCGTCCTTATGGAAATCGGTAGTGTGGCAATTGGCGACGCGCGCGACATCTGTGTGGCGACCAAGTGGCGACTGTGGCGACACCTGGTGGCTGCTTTTCTGCTGTATGAAGGCATTGGGGTTTTGCCAGATATGGTTCCTACTGCTACACAACTATGTTGACCCAATACTAGAAAGTTATTTCGCCAGTAAAAGGCAAGCAAATTGAAAGTCAACTTATAAAATTGCTTATAATTGATAACGAGAAAATAATAAAGAAGTTTTGATTGAAGAGTTATTAAAATACCCAACCGTGAAACTATATTCTGGTAGGTTTAGTAGAAAATAGTCCGTGCAACCTTGTATTTAGGGCCTTGGCAGCTACCAAACCGCAGCTCGTGTAGTCCGGGAGCTGCGGTTGGTGAATGAATTCACCAGGCGCGGCATGGCGCTGATGTAGGACTGGCACTCATGAAAGACAAAGATTAGCGCCAGTTCTTCCTCCATGCCGTTGAAAAGATCACAGAAAACGCTAACCTGACACCCGAAGATCGACTGCAATTGCTAACCAGGCTATAAACAAAGTGATCTGGGTGCCCGTTGCCCATGATACCCCTCCCTCCAATGAGGCGCCAATAATCTACTAAAGAGGAGGCACTTGAGTAGTGGAGTACATAGACCAGCGTTCTGGTGTGACCGAAGCTGCGCTGCATGAAATATCAAAAAACAATATGAAAATGACTAGGAAATGCTTCATTATCATCCGATTACAGCGTAATAGGAAAGTCCGAAACGATTTTAATGATATTGAAATCTGCCACCAAAATCCGAACTTTGACCTTGATTCGCGACCTCTAAACATCAATATTTTCCCATAAAAATTTGCCTCCCTTATTTTTTACGGGAAAGGAACTGGAAAACCACCCGCACGCATTTAAAATCAAAAATTGATTTTTAAGTGCCACCCTAATGTATATATACTGTAAAACATATTTGCACGTTTCGAGTCATCCTGTCAAATCTCACTAACCAAATGCGTGTAAACTTGGTATTTACCACACTGCATCCCGAAGTTAACACGCATTTGGCTAATGATATTTGCCTGGATAACATGTGCACATGTGCAAATCTCGGCAGAAGCTTGTGAATCCTACTCACATTTTGCGTGTAATCGTGTTTTCTTCTGTGTGTGTTATGTAACACCGAAGTTAGTTATCCTGCAACTAGGCGATGCCTAGTTGCATGATAACTAACTTCGGTGTTACATAACACGCACAAAAGGAAACACGCTTACACGCAAAATGCTAGTAAGCTTCACACGTTTTTGCCTAGTGAGATTTGCCAGGATAACTAACTTTTTAGTTACTTTACACGCATAATATTAGTACATTGACAGGTAGATATTAGTTAAGTAACACGGTCACACGCAAAAGGCGTGTAGGTCAACACCACGTCGAAAACTAATGTCTTAGTTTCATAACACGTTTTTTCTTAAAAGCGTGTTTTATAAAACACGTTTGGTCAGTAGATGCGTGTAAACTTTACACGCTTTAGGTTAGTGAGATTTGCCATGATAACACGGAAGTTAGTTAACATTTTTTACAGTGTAGAATTGGAATTGCGCGATCGAAGGGTAGAGGGCAGGGTCACCGCAACAAGCTTCGCTTAGCGGTGGCTCTGTTCTTGTGAATCCTTCCCATCAAAAGGTTCGGACTAAGTTAAAAAAAAATAATGCGATCGCTTAACTTTGACTGTTGAAATATGATAGTTGAAGTGAGACCATTGAATGTAACAACTGAAATATAACATAAAATACAGTTGGAATTTGGTAGTAATGATTCCGAATCGAAAAGTGCCATCCATTAGATATCACGGCTATGTTTTACGGTTCACTGTTAGCATTCACAAGCGCTCTTACGCTTTTGGTTGACATGGAAACATCAACAAGACGCTTTCGGTTTCCATGTAAATGTTGGACGCTCACAATTAACTTGATTGATGTTTCAATAGAAACCCAAAGCACAGCAGCGTTAGTAAGCGCTAGCTGAGTTCGGTGAAACAAGGACCAGTTTATTACAGCCCACCGCTGACAACTGACCTTTGACAGCCAGTCTTTGACAGCTAGCCTTTGACAGCTAGCCCCTGACAGCTAACCTTTGACAGCTGACCTTTGGCAGCTAACATTTGACAGCTAGCCTTTGACAACTGACCTTTGACAGCTAGCCTTTGAAAGCTAACATTTGACAGCTAACGTTAGACAGCTAACATTTGACAGCTAACTTTAGACAGCTAACCTTTGACAGCTAACATTTGACAGCTAGCCTTTGACAGCTAGCCGCTGACAGCTGACAGTTGTGACTGCTGTCCAGTGACAGCTCGCAGGCCGCTCAGTGGAAACTAACCGTCCTCAGTCACGGACAATCACGAAGTGTCACGCTATAGAGCGTGACGCTGACCACTTTATACAACAGTTGGAGGTCAGGTGAGTGATGGCTGCAGGTTCGAGCTGCCGTCGGGACCAGGGAGTCTAGGGCCAAAGGTTGAGCAATGAAAATATTGAAAATTTAAAGACAATGACATTTAGGTTACATATCGGTATCTATCGGATGTAAAAATACATGCCCAAGATGTAAGGTTAATTGCATTATGATGTCCAACGTCTCCGGCAATTCTGCCTACGTAAAATGGTATTAGGCTGTGCCGCACAAGCTAGTGATAAGAGTCTGTCTCTGTGAGTTGTAACCCTATCCTATGCTCCCCATAGTCAAGATTCATTTATGGTAAGCGGCACTGCTTAGCATTACAATCAACTTATGCAGTTATAAGCGCTGGAACATTATTCTGTAGTCGACTGTAAATCGAATATGGGAGATTTTTACCCAATTTCTTCACTTTCACTTTTCTTACCCAGTTTCTGGCGTCGGCACCAGAGCCAAGGAGGATGAGCAGCAGTAGCAGTGACATCAGCGATGGTAGGTGAGCTTCCATATCCGTCTGGAACAGCACACAGGACCTCACAAAATCGAAAAACATGACGTCATTACTTTGAGACGCTTTATAACAGATAGTGTGTGTAACGAAGGGCATCCAAGCTGCCTACAAGGTATTCAAGCTCAGGTTCAATATGATACACGATAAGTTCAGTTTTTTTCTTTCTCATCGACCAACCTTGCTAACTGTGTTTATATACCATAATTCTCTGTCACAGACTTCTCTAGCGTTGACGCTACTAACATTCATCTTGTGGCCAGTCCACAATAATAGAAATTGTGGATTGACCTCCCCATCATTGATATTTTCTTTTCTTGTAATCAGCACGCATTACAATGGAAGCCGATAGCTAAGCTGTCATCGCTTTTCGTGCTTCTGTAGCAGCCTGTGCGTATGCGGCATAACAATGAAAGACTGTGGCCCTACTTTCACCCGGCTCGCATTCAGTCAGCGATCGCGCAGTGCGCATTAAGGTTGCTCGATCAATAACGTTAATTACTTCTATAGCGACCACCATCGACCGCCATTTGGGTGGTCGTCGCTTTCGACCATCATTGAAGCCCCAAACTATAATGGGGTTGGGAACTCGATTTTTTAAGAATGCATGAAAATGATCAAACTATTTTCACAGAATTTATGGTGCATACCATTGCCTCATAAAATCAATAAGCTGAGAGAAATGGGGGAAGAAAGATAGGAAACTTGTTTTGAAAAGTTCTTGAAAAAAGATGCTCTTGATGCTGTTACGTCACATGTCACCTTCTGCGGTTGACAAATAATGGCGCATCTGGCGCACCACAGATTACATGTTATATCAATGGGTGAAAGATGTTGTTTGCTTCACTCTGCCATTCGCGCTGTTTTTAACTTTAAATTATGCTAAAACATTTATGGATGAAATGTTCAGTGTCAAAAATTGATGTGTCTGCCGTGTACTATATTCCCACTTAACATGAGCGCGTGATAAACATTTTATGTACCTCGAATTTTCAAATGATAAAGATGATGAATCGGAGGATGCTGAAAAGCAAAAGCTCATTCCAATATTTGGACTACTTTACGATTAAAATGTTTACATTCCTGTCATCTTATTGATCATTTATTTGTTCTTTTTTATGAAAATAACTTAAGGCGTTGAGAACCGAGGTAATTTCTATCTACCGTGCCTTAACTTACCAGCAACAGCAATCTATCTACGCCCTACGGTGGCAAGGGAGACTGTGAAAGAAGCGTAGGATGGATTCTAAACAATTCTTTTGTGATATACTGAAGGGCAAAGTGCAGAGAAGAGCGTACAAGTCCTGTTTTGTGCCAGGCTGTTGCAGTAGCACTTATGAAACTCCGAAAACGATCTTCGTTCATGTCCCGAACAACATTACCCTGAGGAGATGATCGTCTGCAATAGCAGGAAGAGCTGATGCAAGTACTTTGAAATCCACTATCAAGTCGGTGCTATTTGATCACTGTTAGGTGAGATATTTTGTGCAAGGGATGAGTGTAATGCCCAGGAAATCAGGGCTGCGGAGTCGGAGTCGGAGTCGGAGTCGGAGTCGGTCGGAGTCGACAGTTGTGACCGGAGTCGGAGTCGGAGTCGGAGTCGATTTTAGAAACCCGAGCCGGAGTCGGAGTCGGAGTCACCGAAAATCTGTCGACTCCGCAGCCCTGCTAGGTCTGCGGAGTCGGAGTCGGGAGTTGGAGTCGGTCGGAGTCGACAATTCTGCCCGGAGTCGGAGTCGGAGTCGGAGCTGGCTTTTGAAAGCCGGAGTCGGAGTCGGAGTCGGAGTCGCCGAAAATCCATCGACTCCGCAGCCCTGCAGGAAATGACCTCCATTCGCCCCCTGACCGGTCAGGGTTATAAAATTTGAGTGGATGGCGGTCCGTTTGGGGTTCAGATGTCAATTGTATTTTGTTACTGTCAAACAATACATGTTATGCTGGCAGCGAATGTGTGTAATGTCGTTTTTCGAAGCAGAAGTTAGAACTGTAACGGCAGAGTGCTTGCTGGTCTCATCGTAAGTATTGTAAGTGTTGTAAGCAAAAGCATTGTCAATATTGTAAGTATTGTGAGCATTGATGTATGGTAGATATCACCTCACATGATCTCGGCTCAGATAACCCTCTCCGGTGTCCCTGTCAGTAAATGGCACTTGGATCATTACAGATAAGATAATTTGTCGTAATTCTTAAAGAATTGGGTGGTTTTGACTCGTTTACTCGAGGTGCAGGTCGCATTTCAATACTTTTCCATAGGCTTGCAATGTAAAGGTCACGACTCTGACCTAACCTCAGGTCACAGATCAAAAATTCTGAGATATACAAACGACACATACTGCAGGTACTGTTTTGAAGACTTGATGAGAGGAAATAACTTCGTGAAAAACTCAAGCTCTGACGTGTTTGCAAACTTTTCTGAGGTGGGGTCAACAAACCCGCTCTGGTTACCTGACCTGACCTGACCCGGCATTTTTTTTTTTTTTTTGCTGGGATGTGCGCAATGAGCATTTAGGAAAAGTCACCAAATATGAGCTGAATGTCTCGCGGCGTTTGGCAATTGCACAAGGAAATCCTGAAAGGTCTCCCCGTCCGAAATAGGGTAATTTGTATATGAAGAGTTGCAGATGCCAAACATACCCAGATCTAAGACTGCAGTTCCCAGCGCCGCTGCAACGTTTTTAAAACAAACATACATAGGACATACAAACATGTACATAGGATACATAGGATACATAGGATGACAGGCGAATAACCGCTCACGCAAGGAGCGGAGCTCCGACCCGTCCAAAGTGGCCAACAAAGCAGAGACAGAGGCAGCATCACATCTTCCATCAAAGAACTGGTTTCTGGCTTGGAAGATGAGCTCCATCTTTGCATCCGAGTCGGTGCTGTCAGGAATCAGCTGGTCTAATGGAGTGAGAGTAGTGAGACGACTAGCAATTGTATCAGAGCTGCCTGGTCTTCGTAGCATTTGCACCGATTCTTTTCGATCGGACTCTGAATTCTGTCCCTCCTGCGTATTACTTGAGGCATTGCTATGTAGCTAAGTCTTTGGCAGAGTTTCGTTATCCATGCTTTGCAAACAGTGCCATAACAACACAGTTAATTAATCACCAAGCTTCTTTGCAAGTTCCAATACAGTTGAATCGCACGCGATTTGAGTGCAAAAATCAAGAAAAGTGCCAACTTGTTCTCGTAAAACATTTTGAATATTGACCTAAAAAAAATGAGTAATTTCCAGATAAAATAACGGCGAAATCAGTTTTCGCTTGCCAATAAAACTCACAGATATTGAAGCTCCATTATTAAAGGAACATTTTAGTATATGCCATTCTTGATAAAACTTCTTAGCCACGCAATACCAGCGCAAAATAAAGAGACACTGAAAACACGACCAATCACTCCGATTTACCATAGGAAAATACATAGAAAATGTATGTCTCAACTGCGCCAAATATACAGACAGTTATATACCTACATGTGACGTCATGATTAGCCCGACCAATCAGAAGCAAGTTGTTTTCAGCCACAAATAATTAATTTCTGGACTAACTAGGCATTTTTTTAACAAAGTGATTTTAAATTAAATCATTAAAAATTCTGAGCTTTTTTATTTTACCAAAACATACAGAGCATGCAGATAGGTCCCAACCCTATTGCTTTTGTCAGGCATCTCTGACAATAGATTTTACTTATTCAGCGTTAAGGCTATGAATGCGCCAATTGGCGAATACTGGGAGCACTTTGAAAGCGTAGTGTGAAATTTTGGCAGCACTGGGAAGCAGGAAAAAATGACGCACTTAACAGCGTCAAACAATGACCGTTGGTGACCCAAATTGGCCTCGGCGATAATAAACAGAGATGCACTTTACACTGCCAGAACAGCTCTTTGTTGAATAAAGACACGCCCTGCGCAAAGCGCAGCATCCCTCCTCCCCTCCCCTCCCCTCCCCTCCCCTCCCCTGCCCTCCCCTCCCCTCTCCTCCCCTCTCCTCCCCTCCCCTCCCTCCCCTCCCCTCCCCTCCCCTCCCGTCCCTCCCCTCCCCTCCCCTCCCGTCCCTCCCCTCCCCTCCCCTCCCTTCCCCTCCCGTCCCCCACCCTCCCCTCCCCTCCCCTCCCCTCTCCTCTCCTCCCCTCCCCTCCCCTCCCCTCCCTCCCCTCCCCTCCCCTCTCCTCCCCTCCCCTCCCCTCCCCTCCCCTCCCCTCCCGTCCCCTCCCCTCCCCTCTCCTCCCCTCCCCTCTCCTCCCCTCCCCTCCCCTCCCCTCCCTCCCCTCAGTATCTGACGCGTCTGGCGGGAGGAAAATCGAAGGGGCGCTGTGTCTCATCGATTTGAGTCTGGAGCAGGAGACTGAGAGGGGGGAGCTGCTGGAGTCTGGGGGAGCTGCTGGAGTCTGGGGGAGCTGCTGGAGTCTGGGGGAGCTGCACAGGCTGCACGGGAAGCTAGACGGGAGCTGTTCACATCCGTGGTGTTTCCATCGCTTTAGCATGTTGCAATGTCTATCAAAGTTTGTCGGAAAACTGCTGGTATTTTCATGAATTTTTCCTGAAGTAAGATTTTCCATGAAATTTTCCATGAATAATTTTCCATTTTCCATGAAAAAATCCATTATTTTCCATGAAGTAAGATGGCTTGAAAGAAATGGGATGGTTTCATCAGTGACATTTTCCAATTACAATTTCATTTTCAGAAAAATCCATAGAAAGTTTCTTAGTGTTAATTATGAGTTTATTTCCAAAGAAGATCGTTTCATTTTGGACATGACTCAAACCGAATGGAAACAATTCAGCCATGCTGCATAAATAAAGGAGGTATCTATTTCATATACTCTGCCATTGAAGCTGGGGTGAGCATGTACTTTTTCATGCGCTGGCATTTAGCGAGTCCTGTTGAAGAAAATGTGTGGGAAGTGTCGGAAAAAAATGGTGCCAGGCGACGCCTTTTTATGTAGGTATTCGCAAAAAAAGTCATCCAATTAGTGAAGCGTGTAAAGAACTTGTCCTGATATCTCATGCAAATTCACTTTTGCTCACCTTTGGAGTTTATCCTGTTCTCCACACCACTGTTCGCCTATACCACCACTTCCTCCACTCCTTTCTGAAACCACTTGTCTTCACCCTGGTCGACAATCTTTGGCAGACACTGTCTGGTCGTCACTGGCTATCCGGTATACTGCCAGTAGACTGGTCACTGGCTGTCCGGTACTGCCAGTAGACTGGTCACTGGCTGTCCTTTTACGTCGCTGTCAGAGTGCTGGCTGTCCTGTCCGGACACTTCTGTCCTGTCCGGACACTGTTGTCCCTCCGGACAAATCCTCCGTGCCTGTCCGCCAGCTCAGCAGACAGTACCGATTCCCGACGCGGCGAACCTGCCCGTCTCACGGACACTGCCTTGCCTTGCCCGTCCTAAACACTGCCTCGCTAGTCTCTGCTGCTTTGCCCTCCTGAACACTGCCAGGCTAGCCGCTATCTGTGACGCTGCTTGCCAGACACTCCCCGACTAGCCTCTGCTGCAACACTGCTTGCCAGACACTGCCAGGCTAGTCTCTACTTTGTCCTGCAGACGCTGCCAGGCTAGCCGCTACTGCGTCGCTGCTTTGCCCTCCAGACACTGCCAGGCTAGCCGCTACTGCGCCACCGCCCGCCGGACGCTGCCGGCTCGCCGGCCGCTCTGCCGGACGCTGCCCCGCTGTCGGCGTCGACGATCGTCGTTACCGACGATCCGGCCGCGCCCGCCGACTCGCCGGAGCCTCACCATCGATTGGCTGACGGGGGGGGGTGAGGGGGGGGGGATGAGGGGGTGAGTCATCGTGGGGGGTGGCGCGGAGGGGAGGGGAGGGGGTGAGCACAGGAAGGGTGTGCTAAATCTGTGTTTTGAATATGGAGTTTGGGTGTACGTTGGGTGTTTGTTGAAAAATGAAGCGGAGGTGGATGTTTGTTGAGAGGAGACGGAGTGTACATATATACGTGTATGTGTAATTGTATGTATTTGCTGTATGTATGTGCATGTGTAATGTGGGCTGGGTGTTTTTGTTGCATATGATGTGTGTATGCTGAAAAGAGATCGGCTCTATGTTTGACATGGACTGGGTGTATGTACACACACACCAAATTTGTTATATTTTTGCGCATTTCAAAATTCAAGCAGCAGTTCCATCAGGGTGCCTGTCAAAAGATATTAAGGTCTACAATTTCCATTTCCAGGCTATTTTCATAAAATACGGGTGAATTCTGCCAAAATTACCTCGAGCCAATGTGAGGTAGCATGACACACAAATAACTGAAGCAGGGTACCATGTGCTTTATAAGCTTTATGAGCTTGTTTTATGAAACCCGAACATGTTTTTTGCGTTTAACCCTCGCCGGCACAGGGGGGGGGGGGGTTGATGCAACCCCCCTAAGGTTTTTCGCAAATAACTCGCGTAAAAAGCGGCCGATCGCGACGAAACTTTCAGTACCCTCGCATTGATCAATTTTACACCTACCCTGAAAATTTCATGACCCTGACCCCAATGACCTTTGACCTGTGACCTCTTTTCTGTGACCATGTTTGGCCGAAATTGCGGTTCGGCGCATGTCGGCTCGCATTAGCCGCGCGTTTGCAAGCTTTTCGTGGTTTCAAACGTTCAAACATGTGATTTGATGTTGCTCCCATGCATTAGGGTGGGTGTCAAGGTCACCTGAACGTCAGGTCAGGTCATTGACCTTTGGTGACCTCGGGTGACCTCGGTTCACTTTTTCGTGTTTTACATGTTTCTAGGCTAGTTTTTGGAGCTGAATTCGAATTTAGCAACCATCTGAACATTTACGAAGTAGTTTTGGTGCCTTCGTAACATGTTACGAAGCTGTCCGAGGCGGTTGACACCTACTAGGAATACCCGGTAGGACCCCTACTGGTTGACCTGACCTGACCTGACCCGACCTGGCCTAAATGCATGAAGGCATCATCTCTGATCAAAACTAACACGATATTCGTGATCAGCACCCCGGAAAACCACATAGCAGCCACACTTGACGACTTTCTAACAGGTCCCGATTTTCCCGGTTTTCGGGTCATTGACCTGACCTGGAAGGTCACCCGATGACCTAGGACCTTAAAATTGGGTATCATCGGCTTCCTCTCGTGACGGGCAACACGCTCGTTTTTTCCGCGAAGCTCTAGCTCGATCAGGGGCCAAACGCGAAGGGGGTGTCGTACCAACCTTGTGCCCCCCCCCTTGTGCCGTCGAAGGACTCAAAATGGCCTGTGCCGGCGAGGGTTAAATCAACAATTAGTTACGAGTATCAAGGGCGGCATTTGACACTGCTGTAGGGAGAATACCCCAAAAATGTTTCTCCAAATTCCAAAAATTCATCGGATTGCGATTACTTACGCACTGCTGAGCAGTTAAAAAATTCAAATAAAACTGCTTAGTTTTCGTGTTTTTCTCGAAATACTGCTAAGTATCGTCCATTTTGGGCGTTGCTGGGGGGAAGGGTGCATTTTTCCCAAATGTCCCTTTCCCCTTGATCTTTCTAAAAAGGAAAGCCAAAATCGAGGTAGGAGAGCAGGGGCTGAGATGGTTTAAAAAAGTTTTTGAGGACGCTTACGATTCGACTGGTCGCAATCTCCAGGAGATGACTCAAGAAGTGAAACGTGAAAAACGTTTTCTCTTCCACCTCAAAGTACCACGATGTGTTTTGCATCCTTTTATCACCGCAACGTGAGTTTAAAGACAAGCCGATATATTTCGACTACTTGATAGATCTCAGTGTGCCGAAGTAGGGTAGGGATTTATGGCTGCCTTCTATTGCTTTTTAAATTCTAAATCAAATAACCAGACTGCTGAATTCATATTGTGTGCGTTAGATCACATCTTACGGCCAAATGCGGGGTTTTGTTTTACTATCGTTTCATCTCACTCCGTATTCTCACTAAATCCCTCTGTTTCTCGAAACAGTTCTTAGAAGGATGACAACATTCAGCATCTGAATCACAAGCCATGATTTTTCTGAATCATGGAGGAACCCCCTCAACCCCACCCCACGTGGTATGCCACGCCCAGAGGGCCAAGAACCTTCCTTGTCGTACCGGGCAAGTATTGATTAATGCCCACACTCGCCACCAGGGGCGCTAGCATCGCAACCAGCCGGCGCCCGGCGAAGCTCCATGCTTCCAAACGCTTACTGGGCGAACATGTGATCATCGGGCGGTTAGGAATGTGATTATTGACTTGTAAATGTGACGTGAAATGTGAAAATGTGAAAATGGAAGGTGTGACGGAGCCATGGGAGGCTGCGTGGGACGACAGGCCGCAGCTTGTTTTGGGGCCAGGTGAGTTGAAAAGGGGAGGGGTAAGATAAAGGCTAGGTGACAGGTGTTGCATGGGTAGCTGATATGCCTCTATACTGTGGTGCCAATACAAATATGATTTATTTTTGCCTTTGGTATGATGGGGAGAAAACTTCCTTACGGATATGCCTACAACAAGAAATACCTGGATAGTCATAGTCATGTAACTGGATAGTCATAGTCAGGTTTGAAGTACCTATATGTGTGATATCAGGAATTTCTACATACAAGCTCAGCCTAGTGAAAAACATAAGCCCAAAATTACCTTACCTGTATTCAGCGGGAAACTAAAATCATCATTGCTTACTATTTTTCTATTGGAGCGTACTGTGCGTAACATATTTGTTTGTTTTGTATTTGTTTCAGGGAACAAACAGATCGCGTGCCTCTGTTTGATGAGGAGGAGCTGGTATGTAAATATATTTTATATTATAACGTTTTTATATTATCATATATGGCCACGCAAACAGCAAGGGGTAAATGATATGAAGCCGTGGCTGGTAGTAATGCACCCATCATAGGGTTCAATTATGATGTAACGTCTCATAGATGTTACGTGCAGAGGTGCACAAATAGCCCAGCCTGTCTCCTACACGGTCTCCGATGGCTCCGGTTTGTCTCACCGATTATCCTTAGGTATATCCCAACATATCTATACTTTCAAGTAAAGCTGGTTATTTACAATACAGTTATTAGTATTTACAGGAAGTAAACGCTATTCCTGAAGTGTTTTTATTTCTGAAGCTATCCGCAGATATATCGTCATTTTTTTAAGAAGCCGACAGACATACGGTATGCGCTGATTTGAGCAAAGTGCGAGGCAGGACTTGGTACACCTCCACCTGAAATGCATACTGGTGGTGTATAAAAAGACTAGAGTGAGGCGGTCTGGTTGTTGACTGTGTCTGGAAACACTGGAAAGTCAAGAACTACCCTCATAAAACCACCGGGACGCTCAATTAATTCCTCTCATCCAATGAGGGTTCAGTTCCACATGGACCAGACGGGCGTCCATCTGCCGTCCCATAGCGTCCCTCTCCCGTTTAGTGGGGCAGTTACTACTTGGCGGGCTGAAGGTGAAGTGACGTAACGCTGCAGTGTACGGTGCACATCAGTGTTTCTGTTTAGGAATATGAAACTTTAAGGAGTGTGTAACAAGTTTTTTCCTGGATCAACATTACTTCATTTAGGTAAGAAAACATTATTTGAGGACGATTTTGCAATATTTGCTAATGGGACGAAGCCCATTAAATTGCTATGGAATACCTATCATATTGAGGACCACAAACGTTCAGAAAACGTTTTGACTGTAGGCTTTAAGAAGCGGCTTTAAATCCTTTTATAATCCATCGCTGACTACATCTATACTGCAATCTATACACATTTCACGTGCATCGCTGATCTCTTCGCTAATACAGATCCGTATTCACGAGAGAGGCCGTATTCACGTCGATCATTTCTATTTTTCTGGTCTATTTTTTCTTGCTTAGCAAACCTCAGCTGTCTTGTAAAATTTTCACGACGCATTCATACATTACAGTTTAGAGGCAGATAAATCTGATATTCCTGTTTTCTGCGTGGCTCTGTGAGGTCGGTCCCTGCCATGGATGGTGTGAGACCAATGACCATCCATGCTGCCGATCGTTCGACGCGCTATAGTTTTATTGGGGGTTATATGACCGAAAGACATCGACGGCCGACGGAACTGCCTCGCCTGGCGGGGTCACCAATGTGGAACACGCTGCCGGTTTTTCCGAAGTAAAACTGGAGATTTGCTAGACAAAGTTAGACTAAGTGAAATTAATGTACTTAGCCATATGAAAGCAAATGTTTGACAGAAAGTAAGCGGCCATTTTGTCGCTGCTGGAGACAACTGCCGGAAAACTAACTGCATTCCCGCAACATCCAATTACTCATCGATACGTATCAAATGAAGCAGGGCAGATAACCATATTATTTTTCTTAGGATGTCGGAATATAACAACATGTTAAAATACCAAAAAGGTGCAATATCCTTGTTTATAACACAGCCTTTGTTCCGAGTCTGTGCCTTTGGATGGATCTCATGTGCTTAAAATCTTTAGAAAAATGCACTTAGTATCCATTTGAATTATTACTTATGCCAACATGAATGGTAGAAGAATTGTAATTTGTTGTCAAGTCTAGATGTGTTTTCTCCACTGTCAATGACTGATTTCTTCTTGCTGAGTAATGTTTTGCAACCTATTAATTTCTATGCCAGTGGTGGCTCAAATATTGCTGTTATAGCTATGCAATGTGTAATCTTCAATATTGTTTAAATAAAGTTAGGCAAATTCAACTGAAATCATGACTGTAATATTTGAAACATGTCATCTGGTTGACCTTCATCATACCAACATATAGCCTGGGCAAGGATTATGTCAAAAATGGCAAGGCAAGAGGAAAATAGAACAAGTCAGATTGTATTGCCACTCCTTTAGTCAGAGAATGAGGACAAGTTATAATCAAAAAGCACAGATCACCTTGAAATCTTGAAATCAATGTCAAAGCCTACCTACCTGACAACTTGTATGGTCTCCCTCTTTTTAAAGTAATGCAATGCATTAGATAGGTACATTGCTAGGTGTGAAATTTATGGAGAACTTCACAAACCCCATTACAAATCAGTTTTATAAGCATATGCTTCAAATTGCTATGCTTCCCACACTAACTGAAAGGTTTTTGAGCAAACTCATGAGCAAACTCCATGCCAGCATATCTTGTTATTGAGTAAACATGTTGACTACTTAACTGACCATTCCTTTTTCTATAATCATATTAATTACAATTCTACACAGACCTGTAGACAATTCATGACACATTTTCCACCCACAAAATTATTATATACACAACTGAACACAAAGCCTATGTTTAAAATAATCACATATCTGTTGCATTTTGCTGTATTATATAATACTGAACGAGGCCGGTGTAAATAAATTTTCAAGACCGAGGTCCTTACTGGATTTTTGAACGAGGCCGAAGGCCGAGTTCAAAAATCAGTAAGGACTGAGGTCTTGAAAATTTATCACCGGCCGAGTTTGGTATGTATTTTACTGTATGCCAACGATAAATTTATTTTCTGGACCGAAGCTCTTAGCCGACTTAGGAACGAGACCATCCCAAAATGTTGGCTTTAGTGCATTCTGGTAATGCATTTTTGACCGTGGTCAATTTGCTTACACCAGTTATTACCACACCCCTCTGGCTAATGTATTTGAATAGGCCAGGCATACAGTAAAGGTACCTGTCTATAAAACATGAATAATTTGATGTTGTGAGCCTTGTGCCCAGATGAATGTTTGTGGTATTGGTGTTACAACAAGGAAATTGAAAATTTGTCATGCAGTTTAGGGAAGTTATAGGTACCTAGGTAATGTTCAAAATGAAGTGAGATGCCTTCAATTACTAAATCTCCAGTACATTGAAGAGCCATATATTCTTTTGAAGGAAATTATTAGGTACCTATTTACATTAGAGCTAGGTAGGTAGTTACCTGCATGTTAGCGTCTTTCAATGTTGTTCTTTATCAATCAAAATGAATGGAAAATTAGAAAAAAGTAGAAGTGATCAGATAGGATAGGTAAAGCAATTTCACAATTCATTTGACTTTCAGTTTCAGTTCTCATCAAGCCAATTAGGTTGGGTACCTACCTACTTACCAGCACCTTCATAATCGCTCCCCAAAATGCCCCCTGCCACGAACCTCTTATGAAGAGTTTATAGAAGTGCAGGCTGCAGATTTCCGGCCCATGCAGAGTTTTCATTTCTTTGGCAATTCCTTAACTCCACTTGGAGCTCACAACCTTCTATTACCACACCATCACAAAATATTTTGTGAAAGTCCTTATACACTTTGCTTACACTGCACAAGACACACATCCACAGCACAGTAGGGGAAGGTGGGGTAAGACGGACCAGCTAAGGTTTGAGGCCGCATATCGTGCTACACTGCTCTCGTAATTCATATTATTTATAGTCTTCGGAATGCTCAATCCTTCCTCTGTTGATATGTGTAAAGACTAAATTTCAAATTAAAGACATCTAGGTGGTGGATGCTCTTAAAGAGGGACAAGTCAAAAACTCAGACAAGAAAAAACGTGGGGTAAGACGGACCACCCAGCAGTGCCTGCTATCCGTTCATGTGTGTTACACTTCTGCTCGGTACTCTTGTAAGAAAAAGTAACCAGAATGGTAAAATAACAAAATGAGCCTTTATTCTTTACTCATGGGTGATGGAAGTGCAGCTAAAAGCTGGGAACATGTGTGTTGATTGTCGTTTGGCATGAATGTATGCTAACTGAGCACTTGCATGCATGGCTCACATGCAACAAAGACTCCTTCCTGAAAAATTAGCTTACTTAAACTTGTGTCAATGTTTTGGAAAAGAACTTTCAATATGCAGGGTACAATGGACCACCACAGGGTAAGATGGACCACAGTGGTCCGTCTTGCCCCAAATCTAAATGCTGTCATTATCATGACGTATATGTCAAATAGCCCAACATTGCAAAACCTTGCCTTTCCTAAAGTGTGACTATAACTAAGTTTATAACTTTGTTCTTCACAGTTAAGTGCAAAATAGAAACTAATCATGCAAGAAAGGCGCCGTAATTGAATCACCCGTAGACCTCTTATATTAGATCGGTTTGACGAAAAACAACATTTTTCTCAATAACTCAAAAGCTATGCATCCTAGCAGCATGAGCTCAAGGTGGCCATTGTTACGAAGGAAAACAAACATAGTGAGTGCATAAAGCAATAGATACCAGCAGCGGTTCAGCCGGGAGGGCTGGTGGTCCGTCTTGCCCCGCTGGGCCGTCTTACCCCACCTTCCCCTACAGCAACTGAAGCAAGCTGTTCACTGTTACAATTATCTTTCAAATTCAACTGACACCTATAGCTGGTTACCACGCAACGCGCTAGCAAATGGCGTCAGCTTGTCCCACGAATGGCGGTTGCTATGGAAACCAGCTGACGAAACTTTACCAGAACCCATTTTCGAACAGGAGTTTTGTTTAAACTGATAGGCGCCCCAAGATTTTGTGCGCCGTTTTTCGAAACATGCCCACCACTTTCGCAGTTTTTCATCCTACATTTTACCTACACGGTGTCTCATGAGACACAATGTTAATCCAATGGAAACTGTCTCGTGGGTGTCTCATGGAGGAGATTTGTAGGAACTGTTTTTGAAGACACGTAAAGAAATGTAATGACCAAATGCCGTTGACAGCTGATTGTACCGAACAATTGCTACCAGTCAGCTGTTTTTATAGTCATTTTTGTACAGAAAACACAAACTGAAATCTGTCTCGCGGCTACCCTCTTCGGCTCTTTTCTGTCTCCTACATTGTAGGCAAGTAGGAAGGTTTGTGCACCTCTGGTTAC